GATTTTTTTTTATTAAATGTACCAAAAAAGAGCCATGTCTATATCTCCCAAACCACTTGACTCAGACCAAAACCGTTTTACACCGTTCATAAGGACCCTAATTGGTGGCGAAACACAAAAATTCAGACAGTTCTGAGGTGGTCGATCCCTCGACCTCGGTGAATTAGTGTGGAATGACCCCTCAGGGCACGCGCGGAAAGGTAGAAAAGGTGCATAGCATAACAATTAGTATTTGAGAAACGGGAAACTACATAATAGGGTTTTTGACAAAATTTGTCAAACATTGACAAGTTGACCCTAGTGCAAGGAGCGCAATGCAGATTTGGCCAATTAGTCTCTCTGGGTTGTTACATCGTACACAGACAATAAAGTTCGCAAAAGGGCGTTGATTATAGTTTTCCCATCTTCGGTCTAGACTTCATTTTCTCAAAAATCGAAATTTTACGGGGTAACTTGGGACAGTCTTTTCCTCATGTTTCCAGCAGTCGTAGCCTCTTAGGAGTTGACTTACCTGGTCCTTGACATAACTTAAACTTAGGATTTGACGCTCATGATGGAAAGAGATGCCTTGCTCTACAGTTTTGTCTTCTGGTAATCCATATTTTGAAATTTTCAGAAAATGCCTGGAAAATACCAGTAGAAAAGAGAGTTCCGCGTAGAGCCCTTGATATAGTCCAATATCGGTCCTACAAGAGTTCCTAGGCCCGAATTTTTGGTCTATATGTTGTGACTTGAATTTATTACGTCCATTAACATCAATAGATGCATGGGAACGTAGCCAATTACCTACTGTCCCAAGTTACCCCCGGTCATGGGGTAACTTGGGACACTCTTTCGGGACCGCTTGGAAACGATGTAATCGAGGCAAATGAACCAGACAGGCATGAAATCATGGGAAAAGGGTCAAACTTTAACATAGTTAGGATCCAATGGTCTGGGTTGAGAATCTTGCCTCTGGCGTTCAGAAAACGTGAAAAAGTGTCCCAAGTTACCCCCGTTGACGGTAAGCGTAACTGATTATCGCCAAGATGCCATGCCATAAAGGTACATACCGAGGTTGTTGCTCAGAGGTAGACACCAGAACTTGACGATGGCAGGTTGTTGCCCGTTGAACTTCGTAATCCTCGTCGCCAGTGCTAAGTTCGTAGAGTTGTGAGTAGGGAAGGCAGGGAGTAAATCACGACACCACAGCTCGATGCAGAATGATCCCAGAGCTGCTTGGAGGGGAAGTTGAGAGGAGGGGGGAGAGAGAGCCGAGCGTTATGAGAATTTCAAGGTGAAGTGGAAAAGAAGCATAGAAGGCTATGAAACGGTTCTCACACCCATACAGCACCTTCCCTTCAAATAATATTTAACATTTGATGAGTCTCTTACACCCCGGCCAAAATCGGCAGAAACATTTAAGAAACCATCCTTCTTTTTTATATTAGGTAGTCTCAAAAAAAATAACGTATCACTTGCTTTTGTCACAAAGTTACAAATAAACTTTGAAAACTATAATTAAATAGTAGAATTTGCAAATAGGTGACTATAGATAGGATACAAGAAGATTTATTATTCTTGACCATTTCGAAGGTAACTCAAAAAGTAAGTATTCTGCAGGACGACGTCATAATCGCCTTGAGTACTACGACGATAGTTGCTCTATATTTCAATGTTACGCTGGGGTCCCGACGAACTTGGCACCTCCTCCTGGTGTTAAAGCTCTGAGTGTAGTTTCCGATTGTTGGTGTTGTTAAGGTGGCGGAGGAGGAGGAGCATGAGGGTTTGTATTTTGAACCACTGCTAACGCTGAGGTCCTGAATGACACTGAAATAAAAACAACGGGCCAGATACTTTTTCTCTTTTTGTCCACAATACTGAGAAAAGAGGAAAAAACTCCGGCGCGCGAGAGGACATTTTCTCTATTGTTCCTTAACATTGGCTGTATCGTGAACTAAAGGAGACAAAGATATCTAGCAGGTCAATATTCCGCGCGCGAGAGGCTGCAAAAGCACTTAGAGTGTATCGTCGAGCCAGTTCTTACCTATTTGAGGCAAGGGACCTGACATTAACAGGGTCATAGCTTTCCTTTCCTCGATTGTCAATATAGACTAGAAAAACATAAACAATCATGTTAAAACACCGTAAACTTTTCTTTGGAAAAAAGTGACTTAAGATTACGACAGTTAAGAAAGATACTTTTTTTTATTAAATATTTGTGACAAGAGTATCCAACGACCAAGCATAGGAAAATAGTTCAGTATTGTAGTTTCTTCACTAATACAATGCTTTGTAGGATGAACTGCCAGAATCTCAAGGTTATGTTTCATTGGCTTTGTCATGAGGAGAATTTTGGAAAAAACAATTAAAACTTAACGCAAACCTTCGTAATACAGAAACAAACATAGTTGAGGATATTTTATTTGGATATTCTATTTATAACGCTGGATTTTTACTACAAAATCAACATTCTCTAACATAGTTTCTGAAAATTTGTGGTCAACAACTTTGTTATCACAGCCAAACGAGGCGAAATATTCCACAACCCTTTGCCATGGGATCTTTTCATAACTGCCCCCAAAACAAGCTAGGGCCCGCCCTTCCGTCGACAGGGGGCCGGCCCAGCTTGGCCTGCCGGCGGCCTTTTCTCGGGCCTTCGGCCCTCGCATCAGACCCAACTTGGCCAGTCGAAGGCCCGGGCCTTCGGCCCGCTCGCATCACGCACACCGTGAGCGGGTAAAGCAAAGTTATCGATGTACCATCGTGACTTAGGCCCGCCCTTCTATTCACAATATGCAATAGTCCTTACACTTTTTACTCCAACTGTCCTTAGAATATGCCCATTTCATTTGTCTCTTCGCCCTCATTTCGAATATACCCGTATTTGCCATGCTACCGCAACTCCTTGCAATAGAGGCACAGCAGGAGCTCAAAACGAGTCCGTCGCACTTTTTCCCATAACTCATGAAGGCGGGCTCCTGGACCCCCCTTCTGACCCCTCGTTGAAGAGGTTTTGCCAAGACCTATCCAAAACTTAAGTAAAAATTTTCAGTCGGTCGACCCCCTTTTTTCAAGATCCTGATGTGACTAATAGACGAAGTCGGGCTCCTGGACCCCCTTTCCGACCCCTCGTTGAAAAGGTCTTGCTGAGACCAATCGAAATCTGCAATAATTTTTTTTAGTCGGTCGACCCCCTTTTTTGAAGATCCTGATCTGGCCAACTGGTAAAAGCGGCCGAAGGGGTCGGGACCAGGTCCATTCATCTTGTCTCGTCGCCCCGATTCCAAAAATACCCCTATGTGCCCTGCTAGCACCAATAATGGCGGAAATCCCCCTCCCGCTCATGTAAACCATGATGCACCTGCAGCAGCCCTTGTGCGACCCGGACGGGATTTGCACCACCGGATTATTTGTTTGGACGGTACTCCTGAAGTACCCTCCAAATCTGGTTACTCTAGCTCAACTCCTTCCTTGTACACAGACGCCAACAACCTCCCCAACAACCCTCCCCCTATTTTTTGAATAGAAGGGCGGGCCAAAAAGTTTCATCCAAATCGAAGCGATTAATATACTGTAAAAAAAAGTCTAAAAATTCAGACCAAATTGGTAAGAAGTTATTAACAGACTTGAGGTCTGGAAATTCAGACCATTTAGATGTTCTGAAAATTCAGAACTCGAGTCTTACATTTAAGAGTTTGGTGGTCTGAAAATTCAGTCCTGTACGAAGATTGTGAACTTAAAGGTTCGTGACATGTTCAATATGACATAGAAAGAATCTCAGGTGTGTGTGAACCTCCAGAGAGGACAACATTGAGTTAAAATTGTGATGAGGGAGAAGGTCCGTCCTTTTCCCTGACTGTCGAGAGGCCGGCCTGTGGCACCCAAGGAAATGGCGACACGGAGCCACCCGCGAGAGGTAAGTTTGAATGTGGATTGTTCCACTTCCACCCATATTACGGAGATAAATCTTGCAGCAGAGAATGGTTCTCATGGCCGAGTAAGTCCTGTCAAATTGGAACTTTTCAACTAATATATTTTCACGTTAGAAGCCTTTTAAACAGAAGTAGGTATGTTCCACAACATGCGCGCCATCTAGCGGACAAACGAAATCTTGGGTTGGTCTCAATTTTCAGACTTAACCATCTAAATTTTCAGACTGCGCTGGTCTGAATTCAGGTTCTGAGACGATCAGGTCGCAATTTTCATACCGCACTCTACCAAAAATGTCCTGTAAATGCCGTTAATTTATTACCAGTTTTCACTGTAGGTCAATTCACAGCGTTTACTGTGATCTGCTCACACGATTCACTGTGATCTTGTTCGCGGTGTTCACTGTGATCTGGTCCCCAGTAAACACTGTGAGTTTGACGCCGCTGATAGCACCGAAGTACTGCAAATCAGGCTCCAATTCACGGCGTTTACTGTGGCCAGATCACAGTGAACACTGTAACCGAGATCACAGTGAACGCCGTGAACTAGTTCACAGCAAACGCCGTGAATTGCATAACAGCAAACATTGGTAATAAATTAACGGCGTTGACAGGACATTTTTTGTAGAGTGCGGAAGGCAAAATTTTCAGACAAGCAGTCTGAAACAAGTCCGAAAAAAAGATTCAGACCACCAAGTCTGACAAAAGTGGTCTGAATTTTCAGATTTATTTTAACGGTGTTTCAAAAGCTCGTTGGTTAGGCAAGGAATCGCTCACATACTGATCGTGGCATGCCTTCAAGACATTCGTACTGCTTACATGCGTACACTGGTACCTTCACATGCCACACTATCAACCTAACTGTCCACTAAGTACACACTTGCAAATGCATGCTTGGCCAAGCACCCACTTACAACTGCATGCTTGCAAGTACACACTTACAAACGCATGCCTGACGCCGTATAACTCCATGCGTCAAGCATGCGTTGAAAGTGTGTACTTGCAAGCATGCAATTGTGGGTGTGTACTTAGTAAACAGTGAGGTTTGCTGTGCACTGCAGCGAAGGAAGAGTTTCTGTGAAATTTCAGGGCCCTTACATCGCCTTCGTCCACACAGTCTTCCCCTGCCCATCGCTGAGACTAGCGGAAGTGTCGGTTCGTGCCAGCCACTTCAACCCCCTCAAACCCTTCGACAAGCAGACGGTTCAAGGCTACGCGAGATCATCTTACAATGTAACAGACAATTTTTTGGTAAGGCTCATCCTCACCAGCGGACAGCCTCAGCGACGAATGCTCGGAACGTAGGGTCAGGGCGGGGAAGAACTGGACAGGGGAAGAACTGGACACCCCTCATTTTACTTCAAATACCGTAGGCACAGGAATAACAACTATCAAAAGTTGTTCCGTGGCATCAGCGGTTCATTACACGACAGTTGTCAGGCCAGTACATACGGCATTTGAAGTAAAATGTGGTGTGTCCAGTTCTTCCCCGGTCCAGTTTTTTCCCGCCCTGACCCTAAGGTTTAAAATGTTCATATCATCGAGGTGCCCGTCGGCGTCTTCTGCGACCTGTGAGGATTTGACCATGCCGTCCGTATGTGGCATCGGGCGCCCAGACAACGGAGAGATAAGAAGCAGCTCTCTGCACGATTGTCCATGCGGTTTCTATATACTCGGAATTTCACACACTTGCTTTTGCTAACAACTGAGAACATTTTCATTTCAGACTAAAGTGACCATGGCCGTTCGATCGAACAACCAGTGGAAAGAGAACGCATTTGTCTTCACCTTCCCCAACTCAGGGTGTACTGCTATACGCGATCATCTGCCGGACTTGTTCCGCGTCATCGCGAAGCACAGCGGGGCGTCCATGAATAAGAAGGATCCCTGTCTCATACCCGGTGTAGGTGCACTGAAAATGTAACGGATTAAGATCTAGAACGAGGGATTAACGACCCTTTGTTCTCGTGGCACCCCGATTTCTCATCAAATCTTTTTCAATTCATTTTCAATCGTTCAAGCCCTTCTTCGAAGTGCCATGTTACCCTCCTCTTCCTGGCGCCACGCTCACTCATCACCTCTTTACCTCTTCAGGGATCCTACAAATTCAAGAACGAATCAGTGAGCTGGACGGCTCCTCACTTCCCCGTGATGCCCTACGGTCGCTACAAGTTCCATATGGCAGCGTACTTCATGAACTTGACCAAGGCCGAGGCCGAGCCACGTTTCTGCGTGTCATGCGACTGTGAAATCGTCCCAAAGCCCATTGCAGACCCATAACCAGAAAACCTTAAGAGAAACTGGGTTAAGCTACGAAGCATAGATCAACTTTGAATAATTTTGTCTATATCGCTATCAAGAAAGGGAGGACTACTATTTTGAATTCCAATTGAATATTTACTTTACTGGTCATATGCTCTGTACAAAGTCACATACGGTCTGGCGTTCACTTACTTTGTGTAGCTGCTGGCTTAGAGACCCCGTCATCACAGTGTTACGCGGACCAGATCCCTTCTTCCACATGTTGAAAACCCTACCAAGTTATTTGAACATACATAAAGCAAACCTTAAGAAGTATTTTTTTTAACGCTGCACTTTTGTTATTATAGTAGGCCACCTCTTTCAACTTTTCAACCAATCACGTTTTCATCAAATGCATCCTACTGCATGATGTACAGGGTGAGTTTTCTCGATGTGTCAATAATTTGTAGGTAGCTTGGGCACCCCGAGGGGATCATTTTTCACAAATAAACTAGTGGCCGCAAACGTCTAGTTTGGAATGGAATCCAGGATGCAGACTTGAGAAGGATGATCCGTGCACCAGGTATAGTTGAGTGTCTCGAGTCCTGTCATCTCAAAGAGGATGAGTTAAGTTACTTCTCACTCTGGGCATGATTGCACCGCATGTAGATTGCCCAGGAGATCAGAGAGGACAAGGAAGGGTTAGAGCTCCCTCAACTGAGCAGCAACCCCCACCCCCACCCCCCAGGTTGCTGAGGTCGGAGATGAAGGGTTGCGTTTCAAAAGAAAGTACATCAAGGGTCCCAACAAGGACACGTTCTGTTATGTGCCCATCCTGGACACTCTGAGTGCATATCTCTCATTTGATGACGTTGTCGATGAAATCCTTCGCCAAGACGAAGCCACTGATGACAGTGAGTACTTTGATTACTCATCAGGGGTCTTGTACAATAGTGAACCTCGATTTCGCGACCCTCATCACCTCCGCCTGGTTTTCTACGCTGATGTGATAGGTACTGCATCTGGGCTCAGGGCGCACTCGAAGCGAACCAAGCTCTCCTGCACCTATTTCAGTGTTGGTAACCTGCACGCACCTTGAGCAGCTTAGAAGAAAAACAAGCATACCGACTTATTGGTCTAAGTATTTAATTTCATACACAATTTCAAATACTATCTTTAGAATAAGCCCATACTACCCCCACAGTAAAATGTCTACGAGGGATCGCTTCGTAATACGAAGAAAATGAAGGCATTGTAAAATCTACGAAGAAATGCTTCGTATTGTGAAGCAAAATCCTTCGTAATACGAAGTATTCCTTCATAATACAAAGCAATCCTCCAAAGCCTTCATTTTCTTTGTAGTTATGAAGCAAATGCTTTGTAGGCTTTTAAAAGTGCCGTAGAAGAAAAGCAAACGGGTATCATCTGCTTTCGTTGACGTTCGTTGAATGAGATTTTTTTCAAGAAGTCCGATCGTGGCGTACGACCTAAGACGATTTCCTCTATATTTTGGCCAACGGTAGTGCTTGTGGGTCTAAGAAAGGCCCTGAAGCTTCTGGACCGAAACATGCATGGTTCAGATTCTATGGGCCATTTTCGTTTCCTCTGTTGACTTTTCTCTTGCCAAAAATTGAAAAACCACCTTTCGGACCGAGGGGGTAAACACTCCGGTGAACCTTGTACAGACTACTCTCTATTACGGGGTATTACACTTGTATTACGCATGTTACGCCTCGATTTCATTGAAAAATGACATTTTTTTTATACTTTTGGTCCCAAAATGTATTACTATTACGCGTATTATGGTGTAATACCCGACTTTTGTGTACAGGGTATTACGGAAATGTTTAACCCCCTCGTTTCGGACGCCTCTGCGCAGTGCACTCGATTGAGCTCAAAATGTGGTATCTTGTGTAAAATCACGCGAGGAACACGAATCCGGCGCCCGTTTCTTGACAGGACAACCCGAAAAGATGTTATGACTGTTTCCCAGCTTTTGTAGTGGTCTTTGCTTTTCTGACGGTTTTGATGTTGGACATCGATTTTCGCCAATCCGATGGGTGGACTTGCGTTTGTAGAGTAGCCTTCTCCGTCGTTTCCCCCCAAATTCACTTGCAAATGTCGTCGGTTGGTGCACCTGCTTGTCACTCAGTCACGATGCCTGCTTGCCATGGCCGGTTCTTCACGAGGTGAGCGCACTGTCAACGAATGACGTCACATTCGTTACGAAATGAGAGGATGGTGTATGAATGCAGGGCGGTGAGAATTCCTTGATGTGACGAAGCAACGCCGTTTGAATACTACGAAACCTCTGTACACGATACGAAGCAATTGAACACCGCCTTTATTTTCCTCGTTGGTGCAAAGCAAGAGCTCTGTAGACTTTTTGGAGAGGTTAGTGCATCACTGTGGCAAAAAGGTACGGAAAATTCTGTTAATTTTTTTGCCAGGATTCTCCGTAGCCCTCTTATCAATATTCTCGGTAGGCTCTTACAGTATTCTCCGTAGGTCCGTACAGTATTCTCTACCTAGAAGACTGTATAGTCCTACGGAGAACACTGTAAGGTCCTACGGAGAATACTGTGCGGTCCTACGGAAAATATTGTGAGAGCCTACGGAGAATTAACACAAGCTGTTTACAGAATTTTCCGTAGCTTTTTTCCACAGTGCACGCGTACTACTAGTAGCGGTTACATTCAGACGCTGCCACCCACTCAAAATCCAAGGATTTTCCACCCAACAGCTTTTTCGCGAGCACTTTTTTTCCTTTGAGCGCGTGCACGACCGTCTCTCCCCTCCACCCCGGTCCGTTTGTCTTCGTGTCGCGAGTATGAAGCCCTGTGTCGGCGGGCCGGTCGCCATTTACTTGAAAACTTTGCGCGACCGCACGTGTAAACCGCCATCAGGTGAGTGAGCCGAACGCTTCCAGCTCAGCGTATGCCTTTGTTTAGTCCATAAGCTGCGTAAGGTGCTCTGCAAACTCAAGTGTGTGCCAGGCACAGGCATGTACTTCTTGGTACATGCCCTGCAGGCACACACTTCTTTTCTGCACTGTGGCAAAAAAGTACGGAAAGTTCTGTTAATTTTTTTGCCAGGATTCTCTGTAGCTTTCTTATCAATATTCTCCGTAGGCTCTTACAGTATTCTCCGTAGGACCTGGAAGATTGTATAGTCCTACAGAGAACACTGTAAGGTCCTACGGAGAATACTGTGCGGTCCTACGGAAAATACTCAAAGAGCCTACGGAGAATGCTGACAAGGGGCTACGGAGAATTACCACAAGCTGTTCTTAGAACTTTCCGTAGCTTTTTGCCACAGTGTGCATGCCAGGCAGGCACACACTTGCCGTCACTAATGCATGCATACAAGCAAGTGTGTGTCTGAGGCAGGCAGCAAAAGCAAAGAAGTGTGTGTCTGCATGCACTCAGAAGTGTGTGCCTGCATGCACTCAGAAGTGCATGCCTGGCACTCACTTCAGTTTGCAGAGTGTAGGCCAGACACCGTGGTGTTGCGCCACTCCACGCAGGTTAGTTTGGTATCAAAACAGTGGTTTGCTGCCCCAGCCAGCCAGACATTTAGGTTAGGATCGTTGGCCATTTCGTGCATTTCCTCAAATAAGGCACATCTTCGGTCGTTGGTCTGCGCGGTCGCTTGTCCAAAACTAACGGCGTTTCGGGAGGAGTATCGTTCGCAAGAAACTTAAGGTTTCAGATCTTACGGGTTGCTGTTCCAGAGGACCCTTAAAAGGTGGTTATACTCTCCTAGCATGACCCGACCCACAAATGGAGATTCTCTGTTATGGTGGTGCAGCTGACTTCCCTGGTGGAAGGATCTGTAGTGCAACTTCAGTAGTGGACTACAGTATCAAAAGACTTTTAACTTCACTCTTTAACTACAGATTGTAATTAATACCTGGGCAACAAATAACTGTTCAGCCGGAAAGCAGTTTGTTCACACATCAAACTACAGTTCCTTAAGCAAACTGAAACTATACCTATTCTGCAGTTTGTTATTACCAAAAATTGCAGTTCAGGAACTGTAGTTTTGGCACCAGAGCTTGTAACACCATTGGGAATTCAGTGAACAGATATTTGGAAGAATTTCGTTTGCATTGTGGAGAAAATCTTCACCATATGGTGGTGCAGCCTTACACTCTAACACATTAAGAGTGTGTGACTCTGTTCTCGCAGCCATGCCCCGCCTGTGTGTCGTCGTCCTGGTGTCGCTAGCCGCGCTGCTGGCGCTGTTCGCGGTCGTGGAGGCCGTGCCGCACGGCCACGGCGGCCCACACGCCGTTGGCACCAACCCCTGCACCTACGGGCCGTCTCACTGGTGCGCCAACCGCCAGAACGCTCAGAACTGCAAGATGACGTCCTGGTGCCTCGAGAAAAAGCTGCTGCAGTGAGCGCCACCAACGAACGCCGAGGAACGGAACCACAATGTGTCGGCAGACCACACTGCTAGAAAAAGTGTGAAAAGTACATCAAAACTACAATAAAAACTGTACATCAAAAGTACAACCGGGATTGTACAAAGTACGACGAGAATTGTACAACCCATAACGAAGCCCGGACTGCACAGCACTCAACAAAAAATTTTCCTGATAAAAAATTTGCCAGATATTTGTGTACTTTCGTTGTGGTTTTTTCTTGCAGTGCAGTGGCGGCAGCCAAAATTCTGGACGCGTTTTGAGCTCCTGAGTCGCTAAACAGGCCTCGAACCGAACGTGTGACCCCTCTAATGGATTCCTCGTTCCGAGAGCAATCCATTGGTGGGGTCACACGTTCGGTTTGAGTCACATCAAGCGACTCTGGAGCTCAAAACGCGTCCAGAGTTTTATCCGCCTCCACCGGTCTTCAGGCCCACTGTGCTGCGGGGCGGGAGTACCGTCACGCACGGCGCACCTCGCAGTTGCAGGCAGGGGGTGGGGGAGGGTGGGGAAGCCTCCGCAGGGACGGCGCCTGCGGGGACCACCGTGACCTAGCTGGTCGCGACTGCCGCCGCTCACCCCTGGGAATTAAAAAAAAAAAGGGTGGGGGCACGTTGTACACAGACAGAAAATTGTTGTAAAATAACGAACTCGGACTAAAATTTTCCTATAGCAAACTCGTAATTTTACAAACAAATTAACAGGATGAGTTTTTCGTCAAATTTATAAATCATTCGACATTGTACGAGTTATTTGTAAAATGTTCTGGGTTTCTCGTTACATGAACAAACAAGTGCTTCGTTCATACATCCCAAGGAAGAATTTGTATAAGGTTGACATTGTTTTCGTAAATTTACGAATGTCTCGTCATTTTTGGTTGAGTTTTTCATGCACGAAATTTTTCCTGCTTAAATCCGTATTTCTATAGGGTACTGTTGCACAAAAAACTAGAGGTACTATCGACAAAATGTCAATACCATGTACTAAAAGTCAATAGTCTGTCTGAGAGTGTGCCGACCGTCCCCGTCCCTCTATGAATCCACGCCATTTGTGAAATCACGAAGAACCTACGTCAATTTGCGGAGAATCGTTGTATTACGACGAATCTTCGCAAGGCACAAAAAATCCCAGTGTCTTCAAGACGATGCGTTCGGCGACAGTTTTTCCCAGGGATACCCTCATAAATCCCGGAGATCAATTTTAACAGTAGTGGATGACCCTGACACCGCTGGGCTCCGCCGGGGACTTGGGCATAGAGGAGAGTGGTGACGGACAACGCCCCAAAACGCCAGGGCCGTAAATTGGTGACCGCCAGCTGGAAGGAAGCAAAGGAGGGGAGAGGGATTTGGTGGGGGTTCGCGCAAAATGAGATGGACAAGCCATTATGAGCAGGCGACGCTGTGCGGGCAAGGCAGTCCCCGGTCTGAACCAGGCCAGCTCGCATGCGAGCCTTCGTGGCCGCCGCCACCCGCCATGGACATCGTGCAGCGGAAGGTCACCTTTTCAGGGTTAGTACACTGGTAAAACAAAGCCATAAAAGTTACCCTCTTTAGGGCATAAATAGGGCGTAAATCGTTTAATACCCTTGGCAAGGCCGTGAATGATGTAGGAAGCAATATTTTAATGCCCTTCCGAAAGGCATTAACGATTCACGCCGCTCCAAGGGCGTAAATCGTTTACGCCCTTAAATTTCATAATTTTAATGCCTTTGTTGCCTACTATGTAGGTCTTAATGCATACGCATTGCACGAAATTAAACATGCGCTACGATGCACATGCTAAGTTTCGTGCGTTAAGTGCATGCCTCAGTTCAAGCGTAACGTATACGAGTGTAACCTTATGCTTGACTCAAGCTTAGAGTCACGCTTTAGTTTTCCCAGTGATGTGGAGGGCCGTTGAACTTTGACTGCCGTGATTCTAGCCGCCTGCACTTTTAATCCGAGAGGGATACTTCTGGTACGTTTTTTGGCGATGGAATTGACTATCGCCAAAATGGCCTTACGGAAAAGTCTTGCCTTCAAAGCGGCGATACACTAAAGTATCGCCAAATTTGGCGATACGTCAGTGTTGCCACTATTTGACAAATCAAGGGGTCAAGAGCTCTTAGTTTATTGGCAGATTTTGGCGATACTTTGTGCATTGCCGTTTTGAAGGCAAGATTTCCGGTATTGCCGTTTGTTGGCCATACTATATTGTATCGCCAAAAAAGATACTTAATCATATCGCCTTTGCATTTGCAGTGTAGCGACTACCACACTCTAAATGTTGTACAGTGAAGATTCTCCATATTGTGGTGAAAATGTTCCATATTATGGTGGTGCAGCTGGCTGCGTAACATCCCATTGAGAATTTACTGTACTTTATTAAAGATATTTTGACGAATTTCGTTGGTATTATGGAGAAAATCTCCACCATGATAAGTTGGTGCAGCCTTTCACCATAAGACATTGCACGGTCTTGCAGGCTGTGGCGGCTAGGCAGGTCCTTCGGGCTGGTCCCGGTGGCCTTCGGGTGGTGCCGGTGCCTGGCAGGGTCAGGCCGCGCCAGAGGGAAGACCAACGGCATCGTTGATGTCTCGGACGAGAAGCCGCCGAGGCCTCCCTGCCGCTGCCGTGTGGACGACGCCGTGCTTCCCTCGCGGTGCTGGCTGGCCTACTCGGTCGGCCAGCTCGTCGTCATGCTGCCCGTCAGCATCTACGTCATGCATTTCAAGTATTTGTACCAAGTAAGCCTAGCGCGTGGTCCAGTTTGCTCGTGCTCTGTGGCCGAGGACTTCCCGTGGTCCGATCTTGACCAAATTTGGTATGCAGCCGCATTGGGTGACCCTAAGAACCGCCCGGTGGCAGCAAATCCGATCCGAGCCCCGGGGGCGCTGCTGCAGGTGCATCATGGTTTACATGGGGTCTAGGAGGATTTCGGCAACGGATACAGCTAGAAGGACATGTAGGGGTATTTTTGGAATCGGGGCGACGAGACAAAACCAACGGTGCCAGTTTCAAGCGAATCGGAGAAGTTTGGACCCGTGTTCAAATCCCAGTAGGGTATATTTTAAACATTCTTTTTATTCAAGTTTTTGCATTTTTTTCTGCTGTTTCTAAGGGCGCTGATGACGAGAATAACATCTATTTTGACCCCAGACTCAGGTTTAAATCCCATTAGGGTTATAACCCATAGGCGAAATTCGTGCATTTTTAAATGAACGGGACGGGCCAAAGTTGCCGATGTGTATCGCTACTTTTCCTGTCATTTTTACAAAAAATACACGGGACGGGCCAAAAAGTTAACTTTTGGCCGTTTTTAAAGAGTTTTTTGCTGCAATGACCACGTGGATTGAGATGGAGCTGCATTTTGGTGTGTGGTGAGTCATGGACATACCTGATGACCCTACAAAATCTCAGCCAGATCGGCCGAGCCGTTCAGAAGGAGTACACTGGTAAAACAAAGGCATAAAAATTACGCCCTTAAGGGCATAAATACTCTTTTACGCCTTTGCAAGGGCATAATCGTTTTATGCCCTTGGGAAGGGCGTAAATGGTATAGGAATTTCAAGCAAAATTTTAATGCCCTTCCCAAAGGCATTAACGATTTATGCCCTTTAAGGGCGTAAATCGTTTACGCCCGTTAGGGGCATAATTTTTATGCCTTTGTTTCACCAGTGTAGTGCACACTAACACGCACGTAGACAGAAAAAGTTTTTTAACCCCACCCGAGTAAACGGGCTTCGCTACCGCTCAGCCAAAACGTCAATAACAGTCTGAGAGCGTATTTCTTTTGAGCGTTTTGGGTTCGTTTCAGCGCGACGAAGTCCACCCGACGGACAGCGCGTTCAGCGCGGTGTGCAGCACGGCGGACTCGGTGACATGGGCCGTGGCGATCACGATGGCCTGCCTCACGCGGCACCGCGTCCTCGACTTCGTCAGGCAGCTGCACGAGGTGAGCGCGAGCCAGTCACGGGCAACCCAAGAACACCGCCGAGCTGCCGAGCTCTCCTTCACTCTCGTTGCCAAAACGTGACATCACGTTGAAACGAATGTGACTAAGTGTCACGTTCCTGTGAGCGTTGCGTCACATTCATTTGGATGTGAATCAGCTCTAAAATAGCTTATTCACGTTCAAACGAATGTGACACGATGCTCGAAGGAACGTGATTTTCATGTGGTTGTACCTCAGCGTGCCTAGGTCGAACCGACTACACTAATTTCACCTCGTTTAAATGATCTTATGAAATGATCTCACTGTGAAAATCTTACATACTATGTTAAGCTTTTTAAGGAAAAAGAGTTAGTAATATTAAAGTATATTGAACATACATGAGCTTACAAAGAAAATACTTCGTAATTTACAAATTATTTCTTCGCTTAACTAACTTAATAGCAGTGCTGTTAAAGTTAATATTTTTTGTTAACGAGTTCAAGTTAACCCGTTAACCAAACCGAATTAACGCATTAGTTAACGTTAAGGCTCTGCGGCGCTATTTAACGAGTTAACGTTAAATTAACGCGTTAACGGAGTTAAAGTTAATTTGACTTTTTGGCGCATTTTAGCACCATTCAATGTTTGGATGGGTTTAAATAATAAAATAACAGTAAATAAAACAAAAATTAAAGAAAACAAAGGTTTTTCTCCTTTTATTGTAAAAACATGTTAACATTTGACTAGGAGAGGCAATGTTGTGCTGAAAATTAAACAAACTTCAGGCCCAATACATTTCGTTCATATTCAAGCAACACTCTTTATCAAGCGTGTCATCCCCGAGTCCATTTCTTTTGGGACTAAACGCATGCCCCCCATGCGAAAAGAACCTTTCCACGTCTGCACTAGCGGGCAAGGCAGTGTTAAACTTCAGAAATAATTGGGCTAGGCGTGGGAAATCTCTTTTCCCATTCGGTCCAACAGCAAAGCACGACTGGACAGTGTTCAATCGTGTTACAGTACTTAAGTAACGGTTGAGTTCTTGACTGCAACTCTCCTCATCGCTCTGCGGCTGGTGCGGTTCGGCCACCGGCTCAAAAACGTGTCATCCGGGCTCAGAGGAGGTGACATGGGCAAGACACCATCTGAATTCACTGGTTGACGGTCACGGCCTAATGGAAAAAATCATGGTGCAGTTATCATTACGCGAATGGTCGCTTACAACAGACAAGTAAAAGTTTATTTACCTTGATTTTCTCCCTCAGTAGAGACCTCGAGCTCGGACATTTCGTTCAAGACAGCAGCTTTTATTTCCAATTGGAAATTAGAATCCGTACACCAGTCCAGTTTGAAGGCCGGGATGAGAAGCGCCGCGATGGCCAGTTCGCGGTCCACTAAGTAAGCCCCGAACCGCCCAGGCTCCCGCAAAGCAGCCTTAAGCGTCCTCGCTAGTACGTCACAGTACTTAAGTGGCTTGCCGTTGAAACTGCGCCTCGCCTCTAACTGCTTCTCAATGCTTAGGACAGTAGGGATTAGATATCCAATATACATGTCATTGCTCCTTTGGAGAATGTCAAGACCCTGAGCCACAGGCGCCATGACCCAAACGTACTCCCGCAGGTACATTACTTCGGCTGACGAAAGTTTAGGCAGGCCGACCTTTCCCAAGGTGTTGTTAAGCTTCCCCTCGTCTTCATCCAAAAGCTTTACAATCTGTGAGAAATAAAAAAATGTAACGGCGGGAGGTAAAACTTAAAACTTGTGACATAATTGTTTTTATTTTATTTACCTGCGCACGAGCATCAAACTCGGAGTTCCAGCGCGTGTCTCCAGGTACTTGCAGCTTCACTCCGAGGCTCTCTTGAATAGTTGAAGCAACCAAGTCCGAGCGGTTTTGGAGGCGCCACCACTCCTTTAGCTTCTCAGTTGTGGCCTCATGTGCTTTCCTACAAGTTGTGCTTGACTCCAGAGCCGTCTTGACGTCCTGGGTGCCAATGAGGTTCACAATGTGGGCGGCACATCGTTGGTGAGGAGGGAGAGTGCAGTCCATTTCGGCATCGAGGATCTCTGTCATGGCTATGGGAACATGTGCGTCCTCATCCGGATCGTCGTCTTCCTGCTCCTCCTCCTCATCAATATCCACAGTAGGGTGGGCCGTGAAACACGATTTTTCGATATCGCAAACGTAATAGCGCGCCAAAGTTACTTCATGGCAATACAAACTCAACGCGATCTGGGGCAGGTCTTTAACTTAAAGCTTGACCCTCGCGCATCGACGTTGAAAATTCGAAAATTCGACTTTTACGGGTTTTTCTAAAAACATCCATAGAAACTGAACCAGATGTCTAAATGATGTTTGCGAGACGGAAATGGAAACGTCTGATCATGCTTTATCAGTTTAAGACCACCGGGACCCTCTCCGAGCAGTAGGGGACCGATAGGAGAAAATTACAAAATTACAATTTTTTTCCGTTTTTTACAAAATGCAAAAATTGCCTTCAGGGTTTGATACGGCCATCCTGACGTCACCGTACCCGAACCATACCCCGAATCATCTTCTCAAAGGGGCCCCCTTTCCCGTTTTAAGCGCACGGGTACTCCGGGATCCGTTCACACGTTAGGATTTGGACGCCAAAAACACATGTTTTACTAAAAATGCAAATTATCGGTACTCAGGGCACTGTAGGGCACTCGTCCCGTCCGTATGAACTGCAGTGACTCAGAATCGATTAGTAGATGGTGTCTTTGCGTCGCAGGAACCCACCAGTATATAGACAATCGGACGAAGAGACCTTTAGAACGCTATTTACACTGTAAATCTCGTTAATCTAGAGTTAAAACGTATTTGGCTCGTCTGGATTAACGACAGAAGGTCGCTGCACGTTTATACAGGTTATTCTTATCCATCGCATAGGTTGTAGGTGCCTGTGACGCAAAGACACCATCTGGTAATCGATTTTGAGTCACTACAGTTCATACGGACGAGACGAGTGCCCTAAGTACCGATAATTTGCATTTTTAGTAAAACATGTGTTTATGGCGTCCAAATCCTAACGTGTGAACGGATCCCGGAGTACCCCGTGCGCTTAAAACGGGAAAGGGGCCCTTAGAGAAGATGATTCGGGGTATGGTTCGGGTACGGTGACGTCAGGATGGCCGTATCAAACCCTGAAGGCAATTTTTGCATTTTGTAAAAAACGGAAAAAAAAATTGTAATTTTGTAATTTTCTCCCATCGGTCCCCTACTGCTCGGAGAGGGTCACGGTGGTCTTAAACTGATAAAGCATGATCAGACGTTTCCATTTCCGTCTCGCAAACATCATTTGGACATCTGGTTCAGTTTCTATGGATGTTTTTAGAAAAACCCGTAAAAGTCGAATTTTCGAATTTTCAACGTCGATGCGCGAGGGTCAAGCTTTAAGTTACAGACCTGGCCCAGATCGCGTTGAGTTTGTATTGCCATGAAGTAACTTTGGCGCGCTATTACGTTTGCGATATCGAAAAATCGTGTTTCACGGCCCACCCTAATCCACAGCCATGTCTCCACCCCCACCTGCAACATACGAAGGACAGAAATTTATTTTAATGAAACGAACGCGTGAATGCCCCAGCGGGCCCTCAACCGGGCCGAGCGCACCGAACGAACGCCGCAGGGGTAGGCAACCCTTCGCGCGCCGCAGTGGCGGTGGCGGCCGCAGCGTAGCGGCCGCGCGGCACGGCACACAGTGGGCCAGAAGACCGGTGGATTGGCCAAAATTCTAGACGCGTTTTGAGCTCCAGAGTCGCTAAATGGGACTCGAACCGAACGTGTGACCCCACCTCTCCTCGTTCGGAGAGCTATCCATTGGTGGGGTCACACGTTCGGTTCGAGTCCCATTTAGCGACTCTGGAGCTCAAAACGCGTCTAGAAATTTGACCGCTCCACCTGTCTTCTGGCCCACTGTGCGGCATCACAATTTCACGTACCTTTTTTTGCCGGGGCAGCAAAGACCTTGAACGCCTTTCGAAAGTTAGAGGCACTGTCCGTAATTGTCTTGGCCAACTTGGGCACTGCCAAGTCGTACTCTGCATGGATCCCGGACATTGTTGCTGCCAGGCGGTCATGTGTGTGCCTGCCCTTCAATCGCCGCAGCGCCAAAGCGGCTTTGGACCGGACAATGGTATCCGGGTCAAGCCAAGTCGCGGTCATGCCCAAAAAGCCGCGTCGGAACTTGGACCAACCGTCGGCAGTTGTAGACACATACTTTGCAGTGGCCATAGCAGCTTTTAACTTCACTGTTAAAAATGAATGAAATTTAATGACAGTTTTGACATTATTTTTCATTAAACGTCATTATTTTTAATTACATTTCCACATTCATTACATTGAAATGAAAATTCCATTACCCAGGTCATAAAGTTTAATGACATTAGCCATGAAATGAAAGTTTCATTACATTATGCAGCTTGTCATGAAATTTTCATGACATGTCACTGAATTTTTCAAAAATATTTAGGCATGACTGAAATTGTTTGGATTTGTCCAGGATTAAGCTAGGCTTACTCAAACTAACTTAGCCTTCTATTGGCTGCCAACATCAATTTTTCTCGTACAATCGTCCATCACGGCGTCATATGCCAAACCTGTCATTCGCAAGTCTGCCGCTAGGTGTCGCATGGTACACGGGGATTACTCTCAACTCTGTATTTTGTATAAAAAGTTTAAAACGGGAGGAGATATTCTGAAATTTATCCGTGTTTTATGTGAAGTGCTGGATTGTTAAACTAATGGCGAAGAGTATGGGGGAAAAGAGCGATATTTGAAGTGACCAAATAGGTTTTTCTGATGTTGCTCGAGGGCGTCTACGGCCTGCCGTTTGGTAGGTCAGCACCCGATCTCCCTTGTTCAGGCAACTAAACTGTCTCAGACTTAAGTCGTCCTGGGTCACTTAATTTTTACCTCTCCTCTGCTGTCAGAGTCGTTGTGAATCCACTTGAACCTATGTCCAATCCAAACGAAAAGTTGCGTAATTTGCGTCAACTTTGATCATTTTCATTACGTTTTTGTCATTAAAATTTTCATTACATTCGTTCAGTACACTGTCATGAAAATTTTAATAACATGTATGTAATGAAAACTTTAATTACGTTGTAATGATTATAGCTTCACTACCATGTAATGAAAATGTAATTAAATTTTTTTAACAGTGTTCTTCTTCATTACTTCATAATGTTCATCTAATCTCTTCCGTAATGTTTGTCGACAAGTTACTCTCAAATCTTGATGTGCGCCGAACAGGACAAGTGCTTTGAAATGGGGAGAATCAACAATTCTGTGTGGTAGAGTCTCACAAACCACTAGTCTAACGACCAAATCATCCAAATTCTTTTGAGTAGCTGCTCGACGAGGTTTGAAAAACGTAGCCGTTGTTCTTGACGCACTGCTTGCTTTCTTACTTTTATCACCCCAATTCTTGCCTTTTGTTGGTTTAACTTTCAGCTCATTCAATTGCGCCTGAGACCATTTGTGCTTCCGCTGAAATAAAAAAGTGAGGTTAGGATACGCAGGCCATGACACCACAAATCGCTGAGACATGGAATCGACCTGAACTGAGAAGCTGAATATAAATAACATACCTCCAAGTGAGATCTCAGGTTCTGGGTTGAGGTGTAATGGGCCGACCTTTCTTCGCCACAAAGACGACATCGCGCAATGAAGCTTTGGCCCTTGCCGCCCTCTTTCTCTTTCACAAACGCAAATGTGGCATTGTAGCTGCTCCATGGCATATCTTCGGCACTACCATCGGCCTCTCCTTGCTCCTCCTCCGCCTCGTCTTCAATCTGATTAATCTCATTTTCTTCATCCATCATGATATCAGTTTTCACAGCACTAGAAACGTCGAGACTTTCCGCCGCACGGCACGCCACGGATAAACAAACAACAGTGGGCGAGCTGGGCGAGTGGCGAGGTGGAGGGGGTATGCGCGGCAGGCGTCAACGCGCATGCGCCGACACGGCAAGGAACGAAGCGAACGAAGATTGTGGTGGCTCGCGCCGATCCGGCGGCAAAATTTGAAAACGCGTCCGCGCGCACTTAACTTTAGCGGCGTTAAGAAGTTAACACACGAAATTAACTTAACTAGTTAACGTTAAGGCTTTCAGACAATGTTATCGAGTTAACGTTAATTCGTTAATTAACTTTAACGGCGTTACTTAACTTCGTTAATCGTTAAATTAACTTTAACAGCACTGCTTAATAGCTTGTATCTTACATGTGCTCAAAATACTTCGTAACATTTTAAACAGCTTTCGGGCGTGTTCGTGGTCCTGAGTCATGCCACAGTTTAAAGGTCATGCGCTATCTCATGAAAACTTCGTATTTCTTCTGGAATATCCCAGGTCTGAAAATCCGCTCTGCCTACAGCGGATCCGCTCTGCCCACAGCGGATCCGCTTAGTCTTTACGGGATCCACTAAGGTCGTAGTGGATCCGCTATGCTTTTAGTGGATCCTCTATGGGGCACAGTGGATCCGCTTTGGCCGCACCGGATCCTCTACGATCCGCTAAGCACAGGATCCGCTGAGGCTATTCAGGATCCGCTCTGTACAGGATCCTCTAAAGCCATACCGGATCCACTAAAGCCATACCGGATCCGCTCAGCTCTACCGGATCCACTAACCTCAGCGGATCCTCTACGGATTTCCAAAAATAAAGAGGCTATAAAATCGAAAGTTTTTGGTATTTTGACCTCAAAATTGGTACAGGGTTTATTGATGAGAATTCACTAGGGCCATTTGAATATCATTGCAATTCAACAACATAACTTCGCTATCTTTTAAACCGCCGATGATAGCGACAAACGGATTGCAGATTCGGATCGGACTCGGTTTCATTAACCCGGAACCCTCTTTTCAGAGTTTAAATGTCTTTTTATTGTCTTCCAAATAAAGGTTGCATCGCGCTAAGAGGATCCACTAAGATCATACAAGATCCGCTAAAGGCCATCCTCTGTGGTTACCGTATCCGCTATGTTGACACCGGATCCGCTGTGGTGACCACCGGATCCGCTATAGTGAAAGCGGATCCACTGTGGTCACACCGGATCCGCTTTAAAGGGGTAAATTTCACATCCGGTAAGAACGGGATCCGCTGCCACACACCGGATCCTGTTCGATACAGGATCCTGTGAGAAAGCGGATCCGGTGTGTGGCAGCGGATCCCGTTCTTACCGGATGTGAAATTTACCCCTTAGTAGCGGATTTTCAGACCTGGGATGTCTCAAAATATTGTTTCCCTCTGACCCATGTATACCCCTAGGGCGTATCGTATAAGCGCTGCAAAATTCGATTTTCCATCGTCTTACGCCCACATATATGCCAAACCAAACGAGACATCGAAACGAAACTGCGAAGGCACTTTGTCGCCAAAAGGTGGCAGCATATATTTTTATTTTTAATGAGAATTCAAGTGAAGTCCAACCGAGGCAAGCTAACGTCAGCCACACCTTCTTTACGGTGCAGGTGGACCGGCTTCTTCGGCGCAGGTCAGCCCGCGTGCCGTCCGTGCTGCTGTGGTGGCTGGCGGCGCTCGTGCTGCTCGCGTTCCTGGACATGGTCTTCGTGGCCCTCTTCACGAACGCCATCGTATTCGCCATAAACCTGCCCAACCTGTTCAACAACCTCGGCATCTACGTCCTGGAGGCCCTGTTCACCCACGACGCCTACAGTGTGTTAGTGCGCTTCCGGACCCTGAATGCGCGCCTCCGGGCCCTCGACGACGACGCGCGGCATCAGGCCCAAGGTACACACTGGAAAACCAAACGTGGTCTAGACCGCGCCGAGTGAAACGGTCAAAAAGGCACCCAAAGTTACTCCCAAAAGTTTTCCCCAAATCTTTCCTCATGTGCCCACACTCTAAATGTTCTACAGTGAAGATTATCCATATTATGGTAAAAATGTTCCATATTATGGTGGTGCTGCTGACTTCGTAGCACTCTAAATGTTCTACAGTGAAGAAGATTCTCCATCTTATGGTGAAAATTTTTCATATTATGGTGGTGCAGCTGACTTCGTAACATACCATTGCGAATTCACTGCACCTAATAGATATTTTGATGAATTTCGTTGGTATTATGGAGAAAATCTCCACCATAATATGATGGTGCAACCTTTCACCGTGAGACATTTGCTGTGCACGAACTCCAGAGGGAAACAAGCGGAGGTCGTAATGATGGTGAGGAGCCTCCGGAAGAACACTGTGATGATTTGATGAGTGCCAAATTCTGGGCGAGGTATACTCACTCTATCACCCAAATCTTGCTGAAGATTATTTAATCATCCTAATTCGGTTTAAGGTCTCCTTATCGCTATTTGGGCGACAAAAGGCGTATCTGCTACCTATTAGATAGATGCTTTATCGAAGAGACCTGCACGCCAATTTAGGCGATACAAAAATCCTCATCAACATGTGGTGACATCGACTTCACTGTACTGCATGTCACAGTGTGTCGGGTAAGACAGGCACGGGCGATTGCAGATGTCGATGTTGCAGGTGTTCTCTGCCCTACCAGGGCTACGTCCACGTTCTGGGTGATGACCGTCGAGGAGCTTGTCGAGGAGCGCGGCGAGGACTGGGCGGACACTCGTAAGTGAGCGCACTCTGGAAACCTTACAAACTATTTTAGGCCTTACTAAGAAAAGCAGCTTGTTGCAACAAAGTGTTTTGAGCATTCACAAACTTACAAAGAAAATACTTCGTAATTTTCGAATTATTTACTCAAGGAGTAAAGTAGTTTGCACTTTTTATGCTCAAAATACTTACTAAGGTTTTAAGCGTGCGTTTTAATCGAGATAATTTGAAGGGGTTTTTATAATTGTAAGCCTTTCTGACCCTTAAAAAAATTGAACGCCCTACTTCATTTAGAGATTTGCTAGTACTGTAACGCGATTCTGCCGGGTACCAATTACCAGCAGGGAGTATTTCCAAGCATCGAATTGTGAAAATTCCGACAAAAATAGGTGTGTGTGATTTTGTCCTCTTCTGCTGTGGTCGATTCTTTCCTGCACTGACCCGCGGAGGGGTGGCATCCGGGTTACATCCTAAATCAAGACGCATGGAACAGAGACTCGGAGGACATTTTTCGTCCATTCAAAGAGGAATTTAGTGACTACTGAGTTTTAATATCTCACCTCACAGAAAAGAACGCAGGTTACTGTTTTCTTCTCAGTCCTCTACAGTTGGGACATACTCGCCGCCCATGCAACTCGTGTCACAAAACAAACTTTTTTTGTTTTGCAGTGCACACACAGCTTAAGCGACTAAGCGATGCGCACTCACTGCTGTGCGAGAGCACGCACAAGCTGACGCACCGTTTCGGCCCCGTGCTGCTCGTGGACACACTCAACCTGCTGCTGCACCTGGTGCTCAAGTCCAACTACTTCTTCTCCGCGCTCGCGTCCTCCGCCCAGACGTTTTTCATCCCCATGCAGGCGTGCTGGCTCCTGGCGCACCTGGGCCGCGTCTTGCTGCTCGTGTGGCCCTGCTCCAAAGCCAAGCAGGAGGCAAGCCTTTTTCAACGATGCTGCTTACACTCGGGGATCCTTAACTTAACGAAACATTTAACACTCCCTGCTATCATAACGTAACATACGACGGTGTTCGATAAAGGTTAAGGGTATGGACTGTTGCAACCACTTCCAAATACAGATACAAGAAGCCAGAATAATAACCTATCAGTTTCAAAAGAAATCAGAAGTCTCGGGTTGTAACTTTTACGCTTAAGATAAATTTTCAAGTTAGGGATCCCTGCTGAAACTTTAAACTCTACGAAGGACGCTCTTCTTAATGTACAGAAAACGGGCTCTTCGAGAGAAAACGGAGGCCTACAGACTGCGAAGGAATTCGTTTGTAATTGAAACGATTCTGTTTGTAATTTAAAGAAAAATCCCTTCGCAGGCCGCACAGAAGTTCGTCGTAGGCTACAAAGAAGTTTTTCTTTGAATCACCTACAAAATCTGTCGTTTTGCAAACGATTTCCTTCTTAAGGTGCGCAGCCTCCGTTCGTTTGTAGCTACAAATAACGTTCTGGGCGAGAACACTGAGAATTACAGAGGCTAAAATTTTGGGTGAGGTATTCTTTTCCACCCGAATTTGGATGAGAATAATTTTATTGCCAAATTTGGGTAATGAAGGTGTTCTCACCCAAAGTTAGGTGATAATACTCTCTGTAGCTTGTATTGTCTTAAATCGCCCAAATTTGGGTCATGAAACCTTTGTCGCCCGAATTAAGGTGATTAAATAATCCTCACCCAAAGTTAGGTTATACTTAAAATCGGCCAAAATATGGTATTGCTCAAGCAAGACTGCACTCCAAATGTTGTACAGTGAAGATTCTCCATATCATGGTGATAATGTTCCATATTATGGTGGTGTAGCTGACTTCATAACGTACCATTGAGAATTCACTGTACCTTCTAGATATTTTGACGAACTTCTTTGATATTATGGAGAAGATCTCCACCTTAATTTGTCGGCGCACCCTTTCACCGTAGGACAATTACAATTCTTAGTGAAAAAGGAGGGCGTTACTTGAAATTAAGCATTCCGACTGCTTATCCCACGATCCCTTGTGCTGGCAGGCTCAGCAGACGGGGGCGCTGGTCGGCACCCTAATGAACCACGTCCCACCGAAAGGCGTGGAACGGAAGCAGGTACGCATACGGTAATACTCGGTTCTGCGGAAGTTCCTGACCATAGAATCAGGGATCCTCAACATAACATTGAACATACCCTGCTTTCATAACGTAACTTACGACAGTGTTCGATAAAGGTTAGGGGTATGGAACTTCCCAAAACAAATACAAGAAGCCAGAATAATAACCTATCCTTTTCAAAAGAAATCAGAAGTTACGGGATATAATATTAACGCTTAAGCAGAACCTTGCGCGCGACATTTAAAATTTAATCTCGAAATTGTTTTCGATATCTTATGCCCCCGAACCCACACGGTAAAAACGTTGCCTGGTTTTCTCAGGAAGCCTACGGTAAGGAGATAGGCGATTCCTGGAAAACCCAGGATCAGTTTTTACCGTGCGATCATCTTTCTTTACACTGATAACAAAGGAGAAACGCTTTTTAATCAAAAGGTTCAACAAACAACCAGAAGTAAACATATAAACCAAAAATGAATTTTTTGATGAAATTTTATTTTCAGTTGATTTGAAGTCCTGACAAATGGTTTAACTGTAATTGTCTGTTGATGTTTGTTTATCTTGCAGCTCGAGGTGTTCACATGTCAGCTCTTGCACCACCAGGTCACCTTCAGCGCCTGTGGCCTGTTTGAACTCGACTTTCCGTTGGTTGCCTCCGTAAGTCTACATGCCTTCAACAGAAGGGATAGAGTATTCCTTGCAAACGCTAGTGCCACATTTGACAGATTTGCCACTCGTTTGCTTGGGATTCCCCGTTAGATATTAATTATGTTGCAGCCATTCGATCCTTACGAGCGGATGGTTTCAGATACTTAAGTTCCGCGAGCTGTCCCGAATAGTGACGTCTTTTGACCTCTGGTCGTGCCTGTACTCGCACTCCAATAATTGGCAGTTTTAACCTATTCACCCTGTTTGTCTGGGCGTGCTGGACGCGTTGCAGGTGCTGACCGCAGTCACGACGTACCTCGTCGTGGTGCTACAACTCAAGGAAACGAAAAGCTGCCCTCCCACGATTGTCCCTGAAACGTCACACGAAATCCCTGAACTCGATTTCGGAGTTATCAATGATTCGAATGAGACTGACCTCTTTTATATTGGTATGCACTGAAACCAAAAAGGTTGGTTAGGACGACCTGTTCGTGGGGACAAGTCTCCCTGGTTTTTAGGCAGATTTGGGCAAAAATGACCCACTTAAGGGGGCAGTCTCGTCCCCGTACCTTTTTTCAGGGGGGTTTTCCCTACCTCTTTCGATGACGATGATTTTTTGAAATATACCTCTTAGAGACAAGCGGTAAAAAACAAATAAAAAAACAGAATTTTTACAACATTTTCAAAAAAAAAATTGTTTTGTCTTCAGTTGTAAGGGAGTTATAGGGAATGCAGCAAAAGCCGACAAAACATACAAAATTTCACTGCGCGACAATTTTCTCCGGAAGTTCTTAACTTTTTGGCAATCGGTTTGCGGCATCTTGAAGATGAAAAAATCCCGTTACTTTTACCTACGATCGTCCATGTAGCCCAAGGAAAACCTAAATTAAAACCGTTCCTATGTTTGTATAGGGTTTTGATTACGTTTTAAAAGGTGTAATCCTTGGGCTATATGGACGATTGTAGGTTAAAAGTAAAGAGGATTTTTTCATCTTCAAGATGCCGCAAGTGTAGTTATAATCAGAAAACTACGTTAAATTTGCCGGTTTTTCAAGGTCATTTTAGGTTATTTTCCCTCTTATGACTACACTTTATCTTGAGAGTTTTAAATATAACGATACGTCCTACGCCACAGGAAATTTCACGCAGATTCCGAATCTGTCCTCGGATTTGCAATGCGATGAACGATTGCTGAGAACGAAACGGATTAAGTTTGCTATGCGTAGGATAGCCGTAGCTCGCAGGTCAGCGCGTCGCCGCCGAAAAGTTTCGGAGAGAAATTCACTGTTATAATATGTCTGTTGGTCAAATCCAATGAATAAAAACGATTCCTTGGTCCTTAAATTGTGGCTTAGCATGGCCACTTTTTCAAAAAGTCAAATTTTTCATTGATTTCTAAGCAATAATAGAGGCCGGTGCAGCCCATTCTCGGGCGCCGGGCGGCCGACCGGGCCGTGGCGAGCCGCCCGAGACATGGTCCCAGCCGCGCTAAGGGAGTTTCCACCCGCTGCTACCCCTTAAAACCACAGTCAGGTACGGTGAAGAAACTCATGCGTAAGCATGTGACTCAGTTTCGCCCGCAACCCGAAAATCGTGAAAGTGTCACGAAGTCGGCAATTGGGGAGTTCTCCCCGGGTTAGTGAAATAGACTCTGGAATAGGGTTAACAACTTCATAGATCTCTGCAGTGCCAGCAGGATTCGATCCAACCCTGAGCAGGGCGTCCTTGGTTGCCACCACGGCAATGCCCTCATAGTGGCGCTCAGGAGGGGTGATGGACGACCTGTCCACGCCACCAGCAGGGCGATCTTCGTGCGTACGGGTCAAAGCCCTTTGACCCCTGGGTGACCAAGTAATGCCAAGGCAAGTGCCGAGGTGTACTGCAGAGACTTAAATCTCGTTGATTGTCTTCCGACACCTCGACGCACCCTGACAACCTTTGCCTGTCGTTGCCTGTGTGGTGGTTCGTGCTGTACCAGTTGAGCTTTTTTGCCATCACGATAGTGGCTGTAGCAGCCCCCCCCCCTTTCCCACATACCTTTCGTATAGTTATGCCTACATAATTGTTCCAAACGAGCCCAGATCGAACGAGACCTCAACACCATTAGTACACGTGCCATAAGAGCTCTCGAATTCCTCGAATTCCTTTGAGTGCTTCACAGTTTTATGGGTGTACCACCTGTTCAACCGCTTAGAAGCAGCCCATCCATCTGTCCCGGATTCTGAGCCTTCCGCCACATATTCCCTGATGAGTGGAATTAAAGTTGCTTTGTCCCTCTTAATTACGTACGAAACTACCCGTCTTAGTATTTACATCATAATTTCCCGAAACCTCCTTTTTAGCGCGTTTCGGTTTCGGTGATATTTTTTATAATTACAGATTCATCAATCTCAACTAGGCCCCCCCCCCAGCTGCACTATTGGCATAGAAAGAATCTTCCAGGAAGCATTTCTTCGCATGTAAAGGAATAAAATCAATTCAAAACTTCATATGTACAAGGGTGATTGATTCAATTGTGTACTTTATCAATGATAGCATTACGAATGCTAACAAAGAATCTATTCATATGTTCAGTTTGTACCCACCTGAACATAGACTGTGTCTAGTCGCAAGAGTAGCGAGGATTTCACAGTCAGGGGAGAGCAGCAGCGTGCTTTTCTTCAGCGCGGGGTCGCTTCGGAGGCGAGTGCTTCAGTGCCGGCACCATGAGAAAGGGGGGCCCTGGAGTCCCAGCTTCTAGCGCCCGGAACGCCGCCCGGTGGACTTTAACACCAGCCTGACGCCGCTGTATTTGTCGCATCTCCTTGCGAGGGGTCTGGCTGGATTCAGGAAGGTGTGATGCGGAGGAAGATGTCTTCGGTTTTTGTTTTCGTCTAACAGGAAGGAAGCCCGAGCGAGATGCATCCTCCCGAAGGCCCGCGGTCAGACCTCGGGCGCGGCTGGCTGTCGGCTGGCCGGCGGCTGCCCCCACCCTGCCGCTCAGCTTCCCCTCGCCGTCCCCTCACCCAGCGGCGGGCGGTGGGCGGCAGGGTGGGGGCAGCCGCCGGCCAGCCGACAGCCAGCCAGCCGCGCCCGAGGTCTGTCCGTGGGCCTTCGGGTGGATTCATCTCGCTCGGGCTTCCTTCCTGTTAGACGAAAACAAAAACCGAAGACATCTTCCTCCGCATCACACCTTCCTGAATCCAGCCAGACCCCCCGCAAGGAGATGCGACAAATACAGCGGCGTCAGGCTGGTGTTAACACATTCACGACCGGACTCGTTTTGGGCAAACTTCCCCTCAGGACCGTAGTCTGCTTTGACCAAACCATGCTTCTCCCAGACCTCGCGACTAGATATAAGCACGAATCATGCAATAACAAAACCAACCAGCCGAAAAAAAAATTCCGGGAACCCCGTGCCCGGACGGTCGCGAGGGCCATGCCCATTCACGGGTACAGGGTTCCCGTGTGGACGCCAACGACATTAGATGCGGGAACGCAGTACGGAAACACGGTTCCCGCTCAAAATGAGTACCAAAATCATTTTATTTTTCAAAAATAAGGAAGAAAACGCAAAAAGTCTCAGTTTGAAGCTTGTATGGCCGTTTTTGAGTCCGGGAACCGTGTACCCGGACGGTCGTCAGAGACATGTCGAGTTCGGGAACACCGTTCCCGTACGTTAAAGCGGCCCAGCAAGCTAAATGAGGGTATTTTTGGAATCAGCGGATCGACCCCAGGCCATTCGCACACTTTTCGACCTGTTTTGAGCCGTTACAACCAACCCGATTTCCACACGGCCTTCTTGACGTGCAGCAGAATCGGGCCGTGTCAAAATCGAGTTGGTTGTAACAGCTCAAATCAAGTCGAAAAGTGTGCGAATGGCCTGGGCTCGATCCGCTGATTCCGAAAATACCCTCATTTCGCTTGCTGGTCCGCTTTTACGTACGGGAACCAGGGTGTGCAAACTTTACATTATCATTACCTTAACGTTAACTAAGGAATTAACGTTATTACTATGACTTTTATTTTGTTAGCTAATGTTAGTATCACAAATATTATATGTTGAGTTTATTAACGTTAAATCTTTGGGGCGGCCATTAACGTTATTGAATTATCGATAATAGGTTATACCGAAAAAACCACGTCTTCAAACATTTTTGTTAAGTCTTATAACAGTTATGAAGAAATAACGTTAATATTTTATAACGTTAATGTGCACATAACAATTGTGGACTTAAACATAAAATTCGTGGTAAGCAAATAACGTTAATTATTTTAACTAAAATCATTCGTGGATTTCGTGGCACGCAAATAACGTTAATTGCTACAGTTAAAATCGAGAATATAATTGCCACCCCGCACTTTGCAAACGCAATTGTGCATGGCACGCTGTTCTGAACAGTGTGCTTGTCAGGCACACAACAACAGTGTGTCCGACTGAGACTGCATGGGTCCTAGGCACAAAGAAACCCCCCGTCTCATGTCGCGAGGCACGGCCGGCACAGGAAATGGCTTCCACTGAATTAACGTTAACAATCGTTATGGTTCCTAACATTTAATATTGGTACATGTGCTAATAGTTACAACTAATTAACGTTATGACACGATATCATAAAATTAAAAATAAACAATAAAATGCTACAAATAAAATCCATTATTCTTTTAACATAAATTTCTCTGAAACTGGATTACCGTTATTCTTTTACCGAAAAGTAATTTGATAAACTTAAATTCGTTATAAAAATTACCAGATAAAAATTAACGTAAAATTTATGATCGAAGTGAATAACGTTAAAGGATGAGCAAACACTTAAAGGTTACTGGTTATAACTTTTAACAAATAACTTAACACTAACTATAATGATAATGTTATGTTATTACACCCTGACGGGAACGGTGTTCCCGGACTGGACATGTCTCTGACGACCGTCCGGGAATCATGTTCCCGTACCAAATTCATCGTACGAGGTCCGTTCAAAAAGTGACTTGCGTCTTTCGTTGAGGCGGTTCCAAAAAAATATGTCTCATGATCGTGACAATTCTGTGAGGCGAAATCGGAAAATCGGATTTGTCCGGGAACGGTGTTCCCGGATGGTCGTCTGGACTTTTTCCCGTACGGGAACGCGTGTTCCCGGACGGTCGTGAATGTGTTTAAGTCCACCGGGCGGCGTTCCGGGCGCTAGAAGCTGGGACTCCAGGGCGCCCTTCTCTCATGCCGGCACTGTGCGTGGCTTATTGGGTGGAGGTGGAGAGTCGCCTTCAGAGGGGCCCTCATCAGGATTCTTAGCAGTTGAGTCCGACATCACAGAAAAGAAAAGACTTCAAGTTTCTGAAATATTTAAACTGAATAGTCTTAAGAATTGGTACTATAGCACTGTTCATTACGGCAGCGTAGGCGTAGGCATACAGTGTAACAACAAAGAAGAACTGGCGTTGGTTAGTTAGTAACCAACTAACCATGGTCGGTTCTTGTATGTAGCCGGAAAAAATCTTTTAACCGCGTAAATTGTGATGTCCATGAATACTGCACTCCAAATCAGGAGAACAAGGGGCAGTTTCGGTTATTTTGACCAAATTTTCCCGCCAAACGAAGCGTCTTAGCGATTTTTGACCCATTATGAACCCCCCCTAAATCGACCCTTCTGACCTCAGGAAGTTAGTCAGATCAGAGAAGAAGATGGTCGAAATGGGTGTAACTGACAAACGTGGGAATTCACAGGCAAATCTTGACAAAATTGTCAAGTATCATGCGTTAACTTTGCAGAAACTGGTATTAAACATAGGGTGAGGTTGATCACAAAATTATTTTTGGCTTAAGGGACCCCCTTTCGACTTTTTAAGCCTAAGGATCTGGCTGGAAGTGGCCGGGAGCGTGCAAACAAATTGCCTACCCACAAGGCGTTTTTAACCATTTTTCCGATTTTCAAGGCCGTTGTGGGGGCTGAAGATATTATCCGATCGGGGTGGTATTTAAAACCGTTCATATTGGCCCCTGAGAGAACACTTTGCCACCCGAGCCGATATCAATTTCGGAAAAAAGTGATTTTCGCGGCACCCTCCTATAGAACCACGGAGTGCTCATCCATTGCTTGAACTGAAATTTCTGAGACGGCTTGCAAGGCACGCAGCAAGCGCCGCGGGCAAAGGTAGGTGTAAACGCCGGGCGTGGATTGTCATAAGTGGCGCAGCATCGCGAAGCCTGTTCCGACAAGACGCGATCTAACGTACACCTACCTTGTTTTCTTCTATCTCATCGTGATCAGCACCTGTTGAAACTCAATACATTTTTTCCTTGACTCATGAGAAATGTTGACGCTTCATAATTTGGAACCTCGGGACTCTTTCGTAGAAAATTTTTTTTGAGGCACACGCACCATGAGAGCCGTTTCAAGAGGTGCTGATCACGATGAGATAGTAGTAGAAAAATATTTTTTCTGGACCTGAAACCACCTACACTGAGAAAACAAATGCGGAGGATTCCGCACAATCTGGTGCGGTGTAATTTTCTATCAATTTGACCGCACTAACTGATGCGGAGAAGATTGACTTCATTTACTCATGCGGAGTGTGCCAAATTGATGCGGTCTCAGTTTTGACCGCATTAGTTTAGGTGGATTTCAAGATCCCACGATATCTACAGCAGTGACAACTTCCCTTCCCAGTCCATCCTCAAAGCGGTTACGTTTACTTGGCCACCTCATTTACTTCTTAAACAATATTATTTGGGAAACCAGTACATACCTGTCATTCTGTCATGTAGATGTTTGTAACGCTGAGATGAGCGTAAAGTTAACAGCGATCAGCCTCATTAAAAAGCAGTAGTTTTTTTAAATAAAAACCAATGATTGAAACTGCATATTGTTAGCGATGAATTGTCACACAATTTGAAAACACAATTCAAAATTATTTTTATCTTTCAAGTCCTCGGCAATCTTTGGTGAGAACAGCACTGAGGTATCCAATGCTGTCCAGTCCAGGGCTAGGTTGAGGTTAAGTGACCGGGTTGCTTTGGCAGAAATATTTTCAATACTGCAATATAGAAGCATGTCAACACAAGCGAAGCACTACAGTACAACTGTATTTTAGTAATATTCATAATGTTATGCTTTGAAACATCCACAACTATTGAAAATTCGTTTTTTTTCACACAAAGAAAGTTCAAGACACACACTTTCATAGTGAACAACAAAACAAACCTAACAACAAGAAGATGGTAGGGCCAACCTAAGATCTTGAGAGCCTGTTAGCGTTAAAGTAAAGCCAACTTTGGATGTATATTAGGGATTTTTAAGGGAATGGTATGTTTATTAAAGCTTAAAATTTGATGAACGACTCACACAAAAGAACAACTTTATAGTTTACTTTCTGACTCATATGATGTTATTTTCTTATGTTGGCACTCGTTTGTTTTTGTTTATCTTATTTATTTTGTTGTTGATTGTGTGTGACAGTGTCAGAGTATGATTTGAAAGATTATTCCTTTAAAAACGTTCTTACAATGGTTTGGAATGACTCAGACCCTGAAATTATGAAATAACCTCAATCAAAGAAATGCTGTAGTGCGTCGTGTGCGTTGACTTGTTCAAATACAGCAGCACAGACAATTCTTCAGTCAAGCAGCCGGCGGGTTTAACCTTACCTGCATACAGCATAGCCTGGCTCATGGAAACTAGTAATGCTATCACCAAGAAGTTTGAGGCTAAAAATAATTTAAAGTGATGAATAACAATAGTTTGATACTGCATTTGGAACAATATCCAGTGTCAATCAACATTTTATACAGACAAAATTATTATTCCGTGGCTTGCTGTTTCAAACACAGGATATTTACTCATCGCAGCGTTACAAAAATTAACGTCAAAGGTATGTGTTGGTTAGTCAATGATAAGCATCAGAAGTAAATGAGAAGGCACAGTACATGCCATCCTTTTCTGGTTGTCCAGTAAGAGACGGAAAGTTGGTAGCAGCCGCTAGCTGTTTAGCTGTCATGAAATGTAGGACTCCGCATCAGTTCATGCGGTCAAAAAGGAAACCGCATCAGGAAATGCGGTTAAATTTTACACTGCATGACTCCTGCGGTGAAATTGCATCAAAATCCTGGCTATTCAGGTGACCGCATCACTTCATGCGGTCACTTACTTTAACCGCATTTCAAATGCGGAATTCTCCGCATTTGTTTTTTCAGTGTACACTCTTAAAACCTTACGAAGTATTTTGAGCATACGTATAACAAACTAAAATACTTTGTTATACGAAGAAATAGTTCGTAAATTACAAAGTATTTTCTTTGTAAGCTTACGTATGCTCAAAATACTTTGTTATACAAACTACTTTTCTTTGTAAGGCCCAAAATAGTTTGTAAGGTTTTCTCAGTGTAAGCCCAGCGGTAAATTGGCCCAAAATTTGCAAATCCATGCCTTGTTCACAGTTCCTCTAATAATTGCCTGAGATGCCTGCAATTTTTTGGAGGTGTTTGCCTATCGGTAGGTACCATTTAAGACAAAGAGGAGCGAAATCGCCTTTGGTCTACTTCGAACGGCCCTGATGTGCTCAAGTCTTCAGTGAAAATAGTGAAATTGAGCAACTTTGAGAGCCTGTAGCTCTTAAACCACACGTCGGAGATCCTCGCACGACACGCCATTCGAAAGAGCGCACTTTTATCTACAAGAAAAACTTGGTAGATTTTTTGGCTTGCCGGTTCCACTAACCCAAAAAGTCCCAAACCTTCAAAAACAGCCAATTTTGGGGGTTTTCGACCCCCTATTAAATCCGGAGTTCGAGTCAGATATCGCTCCTATGGTGTTTCGTCAGTCCGTATGGATGGAAGGAACCCAGAAAAAAGTTTGTTCCGAGATGGTCGTCGGCCATGTCGCTTTTTGGTCTGGAACGTCTCAGAGTAGGAAATTCTATGATTACACTCTCATTCCAGGAACGTGACATCACGTTGAAACGAACGTGACAAAATGTCACGTTCGTTTGAGCATTGTGTCACATTTGTTTGGGTGTGAATTGGGCTAAAATCAGCTTGTTCACATTCAAACGAACGTGACACAATGCTCAAACGAACGTGACACTTTGTCACGTTCGTTTCAACGTGATGTCACGTTCCTGGAATGAGAGTGTACCTTGACTAGATTAGTCAAAGCACAGTAGCGTTATGAAAAACTTTCGCCAGAGCGGCCCTAGTTGCGTCTTCAAAGTCAAGCAAAATCTGATTCAGGTCCACATTGGCTTCAGTACGGGGCACTTCCCGCAACATCTTAAACATTCATCATTGGAAACGGAAACGAGAGTAGGTGGAAAAATTTTCTACATGCAGTATTTGTTTCTTTGATCTTTCATCTTCAGGTTGAAGTGAATAAAGCACAAATAATATTGTTATATAGCTGTATCAAATGATGAAACTAAGTGAAATTCACCTGCGTTTTAGATAAGATTTTCTTGGGGGGAACACCCAGATAAGATCTTTTGAATAGGACCCCTCGAAACAGGCTTCCAGGTCCTACGGAGAAGACTGTGCGGTCCTACGGAGAAAGAATACTCTACGGCCCTACGAAGAATACTGTAAGAGCCTGCGAGGATATTGATAAGACTACGGAGAATCCTGGCAATAAAACAATGAACAGAAATTTCCGTAGCTTTTTGCCACAGTGGAGTTCAACGCTGCAAAGCGTGAACCACAGCTTGGTCCACGTTTCCTAGCGTGGACTTGGTCCATTCTTGGATTAGCAGTGCTTAAAGAAGGACATCCGGTGTTTAAGTCTCTCCTCTAATTGAATTTTGAGAACTGACAAGGAGCTGTTTGGATGCAAGAGGTAGCAATGACACTGCAAATCTGTGCACTGATAAAATGGAAGTGCATAAAAGGCCCGGCGAGCGGTGGAGTGGCACATCGGTCTTTGCGCAACGAGCATGATGGCGCGTCTGCCGCTTCTCGTCATCGCCCTCGCGGCAATCGCCGCCGGTGAGTACGGGACGTTCGAAGTACACGGAACACTCTCACTCCAGGAACGTGACATCACGTTGAAACGAATGTGACAAACTGTCACGTTCCTTTGAGCATTGTGTCACGTTCGTTTCGACGTGAATACGCTAATTTATGGCTGATTCACGTCCAAACGAACGTGACACAATGCTCAAAGGTACGGGACATTTTGTCACATTCATTTCAACGTGATGTCGCGTTCCTGGGAGGAGAGTGGAGGCTTCCTCACTGCACAAACCTAACTGTCTGTCTACTAAGTACACACTTCCAAATGCATGCAAATGCATGCAACCTAACTGTCTACTTGGCACACACGTACAAATGCATGCCTGCAAGTACGCACTTACAAATGCATGCTTGGCAATCACACACTTACGATGCATGCTTGCAAGTACACACGTACAAACGCATGCTTGGCCAAGTACACACTTACAAACGCCTATGCTTAGCTTGTAGTTATACGTTGCCAAGCATGCGTTTGTAAATGTATACGTGGCCAAGCGTGCGTTTGTAAGTGTGTACTTTCAACCATGCATTTGGAAGTGTGCACCTAGTAGACAGTTACGTTTGTAGTGCAGCTCCTCACCTACACTACAAACCTAACTGTCTACTTGGCACACACACGTAAAAATGCGCCAGTACGCACTTACAAATGCATGCTTGGCAATTACACACTTATAATGCATGCTTGCAAGTACACACGTACAAACGCATGCTTGGCCAAGTACACACAAGCGCCTATGCTTAGCCTGTAGTTTCTAAGTGTGTACCTGCAAGCATGCATTTGTAAGTGCACTCACAGACCTTAACTGATTATTTTTTTCTATATTGTAGAAAATTTACTCTACAGCTCAGCGATTTTAGAGCGTTACTATGATACAGTATATATTTCCAATAACATATCGAATAAATTTTACATGAGATACAGATAAATTAGCGGTAACAAATTTGGTAATTATACACAATCTTTTACTTTATTACAGAAAATTTAAAATGTCAGTAGAAATATGATGACAAATTTGTTTATGATCAAAGAATTTATTTTCTGCAAATGTAGGAGACAAAGTTTGTCCTCATAAACAATTTGTCGATGACTTGTTTGTGTTCTTCAGTAAATATTTTCAGTGAAGTTTTTCTCCGTTCAAACAAAGCTGATTGGAAGGTATGCACTTAGCCAAAATGGTCCTACACAACATTTTTAGCTTCGACAAGTCAAGAAAGGACTCAATGTAAGCGGCTTTTAAAAGATGGTTGAGTTGTGACTTTAAGCGGAAACATCCAAAAAATTATTTTGACTCTTGAAAATCTTTTCTGGTAGTTCTTGTATATATTATCTGTATGTAGAGAACATTTTGGCTACATTTATAGATCATTTTTACTAGAATGCAACAGTAATTTCTTTATGCTTGATCACAACTGTAGTTGCAGTATCACCAGACCACTTTTCTGTAAAGTTGCTGAATATTTTTTCTGTACTTCCAATCAAAAGGACTACAATTGCAGAAAAAATAATTTAACTGTTTACTGAAAAAATAGTCCGTGGAGTGTCTGAGAGTGTGGGAGCCAGGGATCCTTAACTTACCTCATAAGGGCATCATAACGTTATGATAAGAGTTAAAGTTATTACCCTTAACTTCTAACATCTTTTCAAAAGGGTAGGTTATTTTTTTTATGTCTCGAATTTGTGTGGATATACTTTTGCAAGTACTTTCATAAGTCCGTACCCTTAACCCTTAGCGAACACTGTCTTATGTTACGTTATGAAAGCAGTGTTAGTTAAATGTTAAGTTAAGTTACGGATCCCTGGTGGGAGCTAACTTTTACCGTTTTTTATTTTTGCCTTTTTGCTTTGTGCAGGGGTTCATGGAGGCAAAGTGCACAACCAGTTAATTGGTAAGCATTGAAGCCTGTGCTTGATCTGGTTGACGTCTAAAGAGACTCATATCGGGCCGAAACAGTCTACAGATTGATGTCACACTTTTGAAAATTTTCATTAATTTCTTAGGCTTGTTCGAAGAACGCAATAGAATCATTTATCTGATTGGATAAAGTTTACCCTGCAAACAGTTTTTTGTTTCTTCTGAAAAATGATGAAAATTGAGTTATCCTCTTCTTCCGCTTCATGGATCACTTTGCACGTGATGTCACGTTCCCGGAATGAGGCTAAACACAGTCTGGCTTACATAGCACAGTGGGCCAGAAGGCCAGAAGGTGGAGGTGGCAAAAATTCTAGAGGTGTTTTGAGCTCCAGAGTAGCTAAATGGGACTCGAATCGGCCGTGTGACCCCACCAATGGATTCCTCGTTCGGAGAGCAATCCATTAATGGGGTCACACGTTCGATGCGAGTCCCATTTAGCGACTCTGGACCTCAAAACACCTCTCGAATTTTTGCCACCTCCACCAGGCCTTTTGGTCCACTGTGCATTGAGTGGAATTGTCTGCCTGTCAGTGACGTACGGCATCGTCCCCGACCCATTCCACTCGAAGAGCTTCTTCTCGCTGCCCCGCACCCTGGAGGAGGCTCAGGGCGGCCAGGACTACTGGATCCCCTCCCAAAAACGGCCGCAGGACAACACGACGTCCTACTGCCGCGAGGGCGACTACCGCGTGTGCTTGCTCTTCGACCAGCAGGGCAGCGTGGCCGGCATCCGCCTGTCGGTGCGTCCTTCACACACTGCAAAGAAAACACCACACTGTCAGAAAATTCCGAAAAAAAAAATGGAAAAATCATGGAGTTTTTCCGAAACTTCTGCATGGAGCTCTCCATAAATGCAAATTCTGGGCTTTCTCCGAAAAATTTCGGAATTTTGAACAAAAATGCATGCTTCACTATCACAAAAACACGAAAAAAAGGTTTGCAACCAGTTAAAATTTGAGGGAAAGGTGAACCCCTACTTCTTGAGCTCAGTTTTCATAAATATAAACGGAAAGCTACAGGATATAAGTCAAATGAGCTCGAATGAGATTGTCCCTTCTTTGACCATTTCAGACCAAAAAATGCTTTAGCGAAGTCCTCTTTAATATATCTGAAAAAAGACTTGCATTTAACCTCTTATCTGGACCCAAGGAATGCTCCGAAGAACATCTGTATAAGCCCTGCGAAAATCTCTCCGAAAAAAATGGAAAATGAATGCAGTCTCCATAAACGTGATTATAGGGTTTTTCTCCATAAAATTTCGGAGCTAATTTCTAACAGTGCACAACCAAAGTACACAAATTCCTGGCAAATATTTTTATTAGGAATTTATTGTAATTACTTTGAAAGTACAATTGTTGTACAAAGAACAATGGAACCGGCATGACAAGTGCTGGTCAGTACAGGCCTCGTTGTGGTTCGTAGAATTCTCGTTTTACTTTCTATAATCCCTGTTGTACTTTTGTTGTACAGTTTTTGTTTCACATTTTCTTGCAGTGCACCGAAACTCGAGGGGTCCTACTAAAAGGGCCTTATCTGGACGTTCCTCTCAAGAGAATCTTATCTGAAACGCAAGTGAATTTCGCCAAGTTTGACCACTTGGGACGGGTAGCAGAGTTCGCGGAAGTAGTTTCGACATGCGCCAACATGCGCTATAGGTTTCTTTGATCTTTCATCTTCAAGTTAAAGTGAATGAAATCACAAATCATATTCTTTTATGTATCAAATGATCAAACTGAGTGAAATTTGCCTGCGTTTTAGATAAGTTTCTTTTGGGGGGAACGGGTGATTCCGTGCGTAGGGGGTCATTTTAGATGTACCAAATGTTAAAGTTCAACTTTAGGGGCTAAATTTGGTGTAGATGGCATACATAGTACCCCACAGTACCCCTCTGAGCGTGGCAGCGCTACAAGTTGACTTTTATTTTCACTCCCTATGAAATACGGCGGAATTTACAGAAATAATGACGGAATTTACAGATTACGGAATTTACAAAGCAAAGTTTTTAGTCTCCTGAACCGCTGGGTTACAAGATAGGTAAAAACTGTTGACGGTGTCATTTTCAGCATCCAAAATAGCATTTTTCAGCGAAGGTTGTGGGAACTTTCTCCCTCAGATGGAGGAGCTACGGCCCGAAACGGAATTTACATCCATTTTTACACCCTTACCGTTTTGAACTCTTCTGACGGCCTGGAAGCGTCGTTACTGTGATCTGCTCACGGGATTCACTGTGATCTTGTTCGCGGTGTTCACTGTGATCTGGTCCCGAGTAAACACTGTGAGTTTGACGCCGCTGAGCACCGCAGTACTGAAAATCAGGCTCCAATTCACGGCGTTTACTGTGGCCAGATCACAGTGAACACTGTAGTAACTGAGATCACAGTGAACGCCGTGAACTAGTTCACAGCAAACGCCGTGAATTGCATAACAGCAAACATTGGTAATAAATTAACGGCGTTGACAGGACATTTTTTGTAGAGTGCAGGTCCCGTGGGCACGGGCTTCTGGAAGTGTTTTTTATGTTCTTTCGATCCCAAGGGGTCGCGAGTTTCTAAAATGAAAAGGAACCCCAGTAGACCGTCATTTGTAAAAACAGCATAGGTCACATGGTCACACGGTGGACATTTTCCCAAAGGCTGTTTCGGGTTCAACAAGTGATGATACAAATTAGGTCACCCTCCGTAATTTTGTGAAGAATAAGTCAGGGGAGAGAGTGAAATAGCCAGTTTTCTTTTGATGTGGCTGAGTCATATACTACAGCATGGCAATGTTGTCTTATAGGTGTTGGTGACCATGACGGAACTTACAAAACGACACTTTAGCAGCTTACGAAACCCAGATAAACAAAAGTTAGATCGACTTATCCACATGAGGACATGGTCTTCGTTTAGTAAAACAAATTTGAATTGCCCAAGCTACCAAATCAACCTCAGTTCAGGCGCAAGGCCCCGGTGACCTGAAATGGCCCCCTACGCACGGAATCACCCGAACGCCAAGATGAGATCTAGGACACTGGTAAAACTAAAGCGTAGTTGTACGCTTCATTCAAGCGTACAACTACGCTTCAAGACTGTACTCCCTTCTTGAAGCGTACAACTACGCTTCAAGGCAATTTCCCCATGCATTTAGATAGGAAGAAAGTAGCGCATGAACTCTTGTACGCTTGAAGAAAGGCGTAGTGGCTGTACGCTTCACGAAGGGCGTAATAGTACGCCTTAGTTTTGCCAGTGGACCCCTCGAACTATGAGCAGTCTGAAAGCCTGTATAATATAATATACAAAGTAGCTTGTTACACTCTGAATGTTTTACGAAGAAATTACCCATCACATACGAAGTAAATAGTACTAGCATAATACGGAGGTGTTAAATCACTGCAAATTGAATGAATTGACTTTGCGTAAAAATATGGCGAGACAGGAGTCTCGCCACAAAACAAAAACCTAGCCTGGGCCTCTTTGGTCCACGCTACCTAACTCGGACTTGGTGCACACTTGGATTAGCAGTGCACCATAATATACAGCGTGCCGAGTGTCTGCTTCCCCGAAGTGCGTACGCCCTTCACTTCTTGCATTCGATCGTTCCAGGTCGACCGAAATGAGATCGCAGCATCTGGCTTCAACTTGGAGAACGTACCGGAGTGGGAGCCTAACTGGAACTCAAGGCTTCCCGGTATGGTTTACTCCGCCACCGTATACTTCCAGTCTGCAGGTGAGGCCAGATATTCTTTTCGCAACGGCTTCCGTGCTGATACACTCTAAATGTCTTTCGAAGAAATTTCCCATTAGGGTCCGTGCGGGGAAAAACGAACAGGGGAATCTGCACCGACAGTTAGAATCGTCTTGGATCTGCTCTCACAGTTTGGATTGCGGTCTTGGATCTGCTCAGACAGCTAGGATTATAGGACGCATCGATTTTTCAACTGGTTTCAACTGGTTTCTGGGTTTTTGATTACATTTCTTCTTCATTTCACGGTGACTGAAAGGGTCTGTCGGTCAGACGAGTGTACTGGTAATACTAAAGCGTAGTATTACCCTCTGTTGTCAAGCGTAACAGGCTCAGCCGCCACCGCCAAGTTTCCCCCATCTAAATGCATGGGGGAATTTCCAGAGTATGCTTTTTTTCAAGCGTAATGTCTTCAAGCGTAACTTAATTAGTTTTACACTCTGAGCACGTTACTGACTTTTTCCTAGTTAATTACGTATTCGTTTAAACGGCAATAATACTTAGTATTTTGTAAGTATGACGAATTTTCTTTGTAAAATTCTCAGTACATTATTCAAAAATTCTCAGTACGTTATTTAATATTTCCTAAGTAGTTCTTAAAAAAAGGAAAAGCACGTATTATGGTTGCACAAATTACTTGCACAAGTACTGACAAACTGATCAAAGAGTCAGTAACGTGCTGAGAGTGTACCAGTGTGTACTGTCCTTTTGTCACCTAGTGCGGAGGTTAAGCGTACCAACCTTGCAAATTGTGATAGAGCTTTGCTATTTGGCACGAGTGTTTTTAGGACCAATATCTTGTTTTTCACCCGTGGGGGCATGTCTGATTCCGATGCAGAGCCCCGGAATGGGTCAAAATCGGCGTTTTAGCCGTTTTTCTGCAATTTTGTTCGGTGTAAAAACCCAAATTTGGGCTATGCATAAAGTGCTTATTCTGAACTTAGTGGTGACCCTACGGATGCATCATGAACCCGGCGGAACCGTCAATCGTCCATATACAGGGTCAAAACAGCAATTTTATCGGAAGTTGCACCACACGTTTTTGCGTCTTGCCGTCCCACAGCCACTGAGAATGAATTGGTCACCACCATCACCCTTTAAATGGGTGATGCAACTTCGTTACCCAAATTTTGGTGACGAAAAATTCATCACCCGAAATTTGGAAACAGGCGTTTGGTCGCCCAAATTTGGGTAACGCCGTCGGCGACGCCGTGAGGTTCCCGATGACGTCCTTCCGGGGCCACCACGATGGCCGGAGGCCTAAACGCCCATCGTGGTGGCCCCGGAAGAGCGTCATCGGGGACCTCACGGCGTCGCTGACGACGTTACCCAAATTTGGGCGACGATTTTATGACTGCCCAAAATTTGGTCACCGCGGGCTCGTCACCCAAATTTGGGCAACGGTGCGTGCGTTACCCAAAAAAAGGGCGATGGTGGTGACTCTTTCATTCTCAGTGAGTTCGTGCTGTGCAATTGGGACGATCCAATTGTCGGATTCTGATTGAAATTGTTGGCCAACCGAGTGCAGGTTACTTACGAAGTGAAGAACCGCATTTAAGAGGGATGAAAACATTCACCCCTCATATGCAGATTCGAAGTTCCAAACGCCCCCTGCGTCGTAAAAGCATCGAGAGCTGGTACACTCTAAATGTCTTACGAAGAAATTTCCCATATTACGAAGGAAATGGCGCAAGCATAATACGAAGGTGGTTTTTCTTCGTATTACGAAGGTTTTTCTTTGTACCTTACAGTGAAACAGCTAAAAAGATTCGTATTACGAAGGAATATTGCTTCGTATTATGCTTGCGCCGAACTCACTGTAACATACGAATAACATAGATCAAATTTCATTGTAAGACATTTAGAGTGTATGTTGCTCATTACGTGCCACGATCAGCGTTTGTATTCGTAATGAAGGGGTGCAGAACAGAAAGATAACACTAAGTTACGCAAGACGTCTTTTATACCGCCTGGTGCCTTCACTCTTAATGTCTTAGGAAGGAATTTTCCTTTATACGAAGGGAACAGCGCGGGCATACTACGAAGGTGGTTTTTCTTAGAACCTTACAATGAAAATGCTAAACAGATGCGTATAAACACTTCCACCGAGTCAAGAAGGAGAATGACCAAAGCCGCACATAGTCCTTACAAGTCGCTTGTTTGTTAATCTTACATGTTCATTAGGGTTCTTAAAATGGATAAAACTTCAACCTGGATGAGTTTTGTCACTGACATGTTTTTCAGTGAAAACCCTCAAAACATTCAAATGAGATGTTTTTGGGAACTGTTTCCGGTGATTTATATGACCATTGTTCTTCACTTGGCGTTCTAGTGGAAGTGTCTATAACGAAGAAACATTGATTCGTATAGGGTACATTCGTAGAATCCTGAGCCGGAAGCAAGCAGACCAGCAGACGCCAAAATGGGCCGGAAACTAACCTCTCTTCGGATCCAAAACTATGGCCGAACTGTACAAATATTGCTCGCGAAACACATATGCACTGCAAACAAGTATCAAACAACTGTTTATGTTCAAGTGTGGCCGATATGTTTGACGAACGTCTCTTTCCCATGTCAAGTTTGGATCTACTTCCGCCAACATGGCGTCTGTGTGCTTCCGGTTCAGGGATCTACGAAAGTACCCTATTGTAAGGGGACCGCTTGTCTCATGAAGTAACATAGCTTCAACTTCATCCTGAGACATTTAGAGTGTTGGGAATAGACCCTTTGAAACATCGCGGAGTGAAAGCATTTAACGAAGCTATTTAACTTTTGTTATTAAGTGAATAAGAATTCTAGACGTTTACAATACGCATTTTTGTAGTATTTGTGATACAAAAATGATTTTTTTAAATTTCTATTAACTATTTTGTCACGGGGTTTTATAAAAATCATTGACAAGGGAAGGAAATATATTGCAGTTGCAGTTGTTTCGGTTACTTTGTTTTAATAGTTAAACATATTTTTTGTTAAATCTTGTTGTTAAAGTTCCGGAGTGTGCTGGTCAAACTCGGAAGATTATAAATGATTTTTTTCTTCTTTGTTTTGGAAAACGTAACTTTACTGGAACGTGGTAAACGGATCAGATATTGGTGATTTCATGTACAATAGTTTAATTTGACAAAATCTCATGATTTTTGGATTTAAAAACTGGCTGTCAATAGTTGACGTAACTTTGTGCGTGAACATAGTGATGACTCCACTGCTGTTAGAAGACTAACTGAAATGATACAAATTACTGCTGTAAAAGAAAGTGCATATCAAAATTCTTTATATCGATTCTAATGAAATATAATTACATACAACTACATTGGTTACTTACGTGTTGTAGACGCACTCCTGACAGCCGTAGTCTACGCTCCCAGGCGCCCTACTCGGCCTTATAATGAAAGGTGAATATCTCATCACGGGATCCTGAAAAACTACCGCTTGAAGCTAAAACTGAAAAAAAAAGGGAATTAGAACAGTTGCAAGTATAATGGAAACACTCCTTACGGGCTAGTCTGACACCCCTCAGGGCATACACTGATACACGGCATCTCAGGTTGTGTGCAACAATAATCTTTCACAGTACAGAACGTATGGACCGTCCAGGCAGGGACAACAGCTTCAAAACGTCAAAAAATAAACAAAGAAAACACCCAAAATCGATAAAAGTGGCATGTTGAGACCTTTGTGGGGTCGGGAACGGTCCCGACGGAGCTCTCATGCATCTTAAAGTTCCCCACCGAGTTCGGAAAGTCGAAAGGAACCATCGTACAGATATAGGGTCGTCAAGCGTTTCAATTGGAGGCTTGACTGCAAAGAACGTTAAAAAAAACAGCAAAATGTAGCAAAGAAAGCCCTATTCTGACCTCCTGCATCGGTTCCCGACATGCCCCCACGACTAAAATCAAAGATATTGGTCCTAAAAACACTCGTGCCAAACCGCATAGCTCTATCACAATTTGCAAGGTTGCTGCGAAACATGGCGCTTAACCTCCGTACTAACCGCCGTGCTGAACGTGCTTTTGTAGAGGAGCTTGCCGCTGGCGGCCGAAGTCTGAAGAAGGACGACCCCACCGCCCCGAACGGTATCTACATCCTGCAGTCCGACTTCATCGGCTTCGAGACGAACCGCATCCACATTGCAGCGCAGGAGTCCCAGGCTGCGTCGGCGAACTTCACTGAGCAATCCTGCAACTTCGGCATGGGTACGGCTTTCACTCTCATTCCAGGAACGTGACATCACTCAAGTGATGAATTTCAAATGAAAGTGACCAAATGTCACGTTCCTTTTAGCACTGTGTTACAACAAACTTATTTGTGGCTGTCCAAAATAGCTGGTACACTGCCAATCCAAGAGTGAGACTGTCTCACACTTGTCGTAGGTGTGGGACATTTTGTCTCGCGCTTACAAGTGTGAGCCACGTTTGTCTCATACTTGCAAGTGTGGGACAACGAAGTCGCACACTTGCAAGTGTGAGACACAACTTGTCCAACACTTGCTTCCTATGGTTCAATGCCACGGGTCCCAAGCCTGCAAGTGTAGGACAAACCGTGTCTCACACTTGCAAGCGTGAGACAAACGTGGCTCACACATGTAAAGCGTGAGACAAAATGTCCCACACCTACAAGTGTGAGACTGTCTCACACTTGGATTGGCAGTATACTTCTTTCACACTTTAATTTCTAGTTTTACTAGTATTTCGGTATCCAATAGACTACAGATCCTTCCGCGCGGGAGATGTATATCAAATCCATGGGGTTTTCATCATGGCAAAGTTGTTCCCCTTGAAAGTATTAGG